AAAGCGAAATATTTATTCAAAATTAACGGTTGAAAATTTTAACATGGTAATTTGAAGTGTTGCAAAATCTAAAAGCATCTAAAAGCATAGATCAAGATATTGGGAAGCCCATGCACTGTCCTTAAGGAAAAGTGCCACTTACACCTAGTTTATGTGACACTACAATTACAATGTTTTTAGATATCAAATAACGCTTCAAGAATGTCAGCTTATTGTTTTAAAATGAATTCTTTAATAACATTCCTTAATCAATTGAAAAATGATGATAAAAGTGTTTACTGAAACATTGTCACATTCCCAGCAACGGAATTATCATTTCTATTCATGTTCTCACAAGTTGTAATTTGATAATAATCGAGTCATATCTAATAATATGGTTGGTAGTAATTAAAAATTAAATTATCGTATAAAAACAATTTAATTGCAGCATAATTAAATATTCTATTAACTTTCCGAAGAAGTTTGCCCTGCAAATGTTGTTTAGCCATAAGAAATATTTCTAGAAAATTTTTAGCATCAAAAATAACTAACTAATTCTGAATGTAGATATTTGTGGTATATAAGTGAATTTATACATTTTTCTTTGCTAAAAACCTCTGCAAAACATTCAAAAACTATGCACACGGGAAATGTTTGTACGATAGGATAAACGTCCTATAATATTTCTTATTTGCAAGATTATCCTATCGTACAAATATTTCCCGTGTGCGAAATAGGGGTTTGTTGTAGGAGGGTGAAAATTTTGGGTTGCATGCGTTCTTTAGTTACAAATAATAAGAAAATAAAATAAAAACTTTGAGACAAAATATTAAAAAAAAAATCTTAAGGACGGTCAACCCCTACTAGTTAGCTGTCCTCATACATAAACGGGATAGTATAAATATATGGTTGTCTTATTCTTAGTCATATTGAATATTATTATAGAAAAAAATCATGAAGATCAGTCAAGCCGTTTTAGAGGAGTATTGTCACTACTCATCATTTTTTTATTTTTTTTTATTAATTACAATCTGTCTTGAAAATAAATAATAGACATTCAGTAAATTTGATGTTATATGAGTATTAACAACTAATTCTAAAAGGTTTTCAGTAGTAAGCTGAACTTCCCGTAGGGTAAGTTATAGTAATCGCAAAAAAATCAAATATGAAAATCTTTACATACGTTTCAAAATTTTCTGACATTTTGGGCATACCTCAGAAAAAATGAATGTTGTGTGTGTGTGTGCGTGTGTGTAGAGTATGTATTGTATTTTGGATACAGTTTTTCGACCACGATTTCGGGCGCACAATCAACCAATTTGAATCGTTTAAAAAGCATTCGATTCTTATTGATAAGAAAACGTACTGATTCGTTTTTGGTGAAGACTGGTTTAGCCGTTTCGGAG